AAACTGCCGGAAACGACCAAATCGCTTACTGCTGCTTTAAAAAGAACGTTCAAAACACTTGGTCTGTGAAGCTGGACCAACTGTGGAGCATCCAGATCCAGTCCTAGCGACGTTTAGCTGGGACTTATTATACGCTTTGTACCAACGGAACACACCCAATAAACTTCACTTTTATTAAGGCCCAAAGATTAATTTAATGACTGCAAAGAAAATAGTTCCCAAAGGTTTTCTCGTGGCAGGCGGGTAACAGTGAGGCTAGCTAACCTACTTCAAAAAGGTTATGTCTCATTAAAAGTATTTTTGTCTTGAAAACCTTAACAGATAATTCTGAAAACCTCCGTGCACGTGTGTTACGAATGTATGTATAATATATTCTTCCATTAACATTTAAATGTGTTGATTGATTGTCATTTGCGTTTGAGTGTGGCTCTGATAGTTTGAGACAGTTGTGACCCCATCTATGATAATATCTGCTGACAGTAGCTAACTAATGATCAAACTAATTACAAAGTGCTAAAAAACACTTGATAAATGAAAGTTAATCACAGCAAAATAAACAAAGAAGGCGCTAGTATTGAATTTAAATAAGATAATGTTAGCATAATCCTCTCCATTACCTTTTTATCAACTCAAACTTTCTACCAAATACAGACCACGACATTCAAGCTAACGTTTTAATTGGTCTACACTATGATCCCTGATGGTTTGATGGTGGAATTTTGCTCCTGGTTTATTATATTATTAAAGTGACAAGTGGTATTTGATTCATTTCGGCAGTGTTTGTCCGAAACATGTGGCAGACACATGTTAAAGATGGAAACTGAGTGGAAATGAGAAAACAACCCACAGTAACACATGGCGCTAACGTTAGCATTTGTACAGGTGGTGGTTATTGTGTGAACAGGTTTAGTGCATTCTTCTGTCAGACTGAAGCTCAGAACGTTCTTTCACTGGTTCCCAGGATTATTGCATTATTAACCAGTGTCGTGCATGTCCCCGAGCACAGCTTTATCACATGTTTAATGACAGAGTACACAGCTGCAGAGAGACCTGAACACAGCTGCAGCTGGGATTAATAAAGGGGAGGATGTCAGGTGATTGGAGGAGAAGCCTCACACCTGGCCAATCAGCAGAAAGGGCAAGCACGATTTGCAACTCACGGCATCTTCCTGTGAGTTGCGGCCCAGCAGTCAGGGGTCGTGGCTCACGGTTATCAATTTTGCTTTTTAGGGGTATCTGTGGCTTATTAAAGTAGTACTAGAATTGAATATGCTGCTATCCAGAATATATAACTACAATATGTGTTTATAATATTTCGGGTGTTCATTTTGACATGTTCAGATTAATTATGTAAAAAAAACGGCTTTGAAGCGGCTCTTTTCACTTCCGCATAGAAACGCTAGGGGGCGCCAAAATGGCGGCGATGACGTAGGAGAATGACCTCTCACAGCAGCAGCAGCAGTCTGGGCTGAATCTGTAGGAGGTTTCACTGTCATCTGAACAAGGTATAAACATATTTTCATCAGTTTTGTACATAATAGTGTACAACTCTTTTAACCTTTTAGCCTTATTTGTGAGATTCAAGCTAATTAGTGTTGGGCAAGTTAGCTAACTCTACTTCACATGTGTCAAAGTCAAGGCCCGCGGGCCAAATCCGGCCCGCGAATGAATTGTACATGGCCCTAACCGCTATTTTCATGTTCCCAGATGTCTATTATATCTAATATGTTTGGGGATAAGGCATGAGAGCATATTGAATCGAGCCAGCAGGTGGTAGCAGCGCTCTCTGAATGGTTTGAAAACAGCTAGGTGCACTTGTTGTGCCTCTTTTTTCTCAGCTTTTTGGTGATTTCAGTAAAACTTCCCTCTACTCAACTGGGGATTACAAGCTAAAAACAAAATTCTTTTTGCTGATGAAATTAGACAGTCTATTCTTTCAGAATCTGGTTTCGGATTTCAGATAGTCATAGTACACAATATTCTGTGGGTCTTGAAAAATCTATAAAAATCATCAGAAACTGCTGGCAATATGGGAGTACCTGTTCTGAAATAGACTGGCAGGCAATGAGTTAATAAACATTGAACCAGTCCGGCCCTTGGCTCGCAGCAAATTTGTTTTTTTGGCCCTCTGATGTATTTGACTTTGACATGCCTGCTCTACTTGATATCATAAAACATGCTAACAAGGCTAATATTCGTTTTTACATGGAAGTCCATGTCAAATAATAATTATAATTAATAATAATATATCATTATTATTAATAATAATAAGTCCAAGCCCAGACTTCCCTATCCACACACACTTTCTCCAGCTCGTCCGGGCGGATCCCAAGGCGTCCCCAGGCCAGCTGAGAAACATAGTACCTCCAGCATAGTACCTTCCCGGGGCCTCCTCCCGGTGGGACTGCCGGTGTTCACTGCTTGGTTCGGGGGTTGCCGCCGGGACCAGCACCAGAGACCTTGCGACTACAGCTACGAGCCGCTGCCTCGGCGATAGAAGAAGAGAACATGGTCCACTCAGACTCAATGTCCCCCTCTTCCGCCGGGACCTGGGAGAAGCTCTCCCGGAGGTGTGAGTTGAAAGTCCGTCTGACAGGGGGCTCAGACGTTCCCAGCAGACCCTCACTACACGCTTGGGTCTGCCAGGTCTGACCGATTGTGAAAACAATATGTATCTTGAAAAAAATCACAGAAAAAATACTCACTGACGCAATCTCTCCATTTGGTTGAGGAACCTTAGGTCATTGGCAGTGGACGAGGATGGTAGGACAGTAGCCATGAACAGGCAAAAGGAAATGGCAAGCCTCGCAGACAGCCGTGCATTTTCTCTGTCCTTGGTTCCAGTCCGATCACCAAGACCCGAAAGTCTAGAGCAACCTTTTCTGGAACAACACACAATGAAGGTGAATGCTAAAACAGATAACTTAACCAAGCGCATTTTCTCCAGTTCTGCTACAACCTGCTACAAGGAATTTTTCCTTTCATTGTCAATATAACATTGTACACTGTCCCTGTTCCGATAAACACCATCACAGCAAAGACATCACTTTTTTCATCTTCTTTTTCATCTCATTTTTGTCACTTTTTTTGTTTTATTTTTTGTTTGTTTTGTTGTGACTTTTTTGTGGCACTTTCATTGTCTTCCTGTAACATTCTTTTTTATTTTATTTAAACTTCTTCTTTCCACAACTTTTAAATGTTAAAAAATACTGTCACCAATCGTTTTTCTGAAAAGCACACATTGTTCATGACAGTTTCAGGAAGACAGTCGACCTCTTCCAGCGGCTGTCCACTGCTTTCCAAATTCAGATCCAATGACAGATCTTCCAGCTGAGAAGTTGACTTGAAAGATTCGTGGCGAAGAACTGCCGTTAATGGTCCAATGGGAAGGGCTTGAAGGAGGAGACTCATCCCACATCTTCTCAGGTGCTGCTGGAATCCTGTCCTGACCACTGAACATGATTAATGCATCTGTAATGTGTTTTCTTGTACCTTTCCTACAAGACCCAGGCCACGCCCCTTCAGGCCCGCAAGAAATGGGACAAGTTAAAAAAGAAGTATAAAGTATGAAATGTTATCTTGTTTTTGTGTGAGTGTTTGTGTGTGTGTGTGTATGCGCCGACATGAGCCCATCATATACTGTATACATATATTTCTTGTGTTATACGACTGTAAATGCCCTGGAACAGGACAGGGCGTAGAGGAGAACCCCACTGCGGGGTCTTGGCCTTGGTTTGGCCTCATGGATGAGATGTTTGGACAGAAGCCCTCAATCAACCCTCCTGTCCTGATCGTCTCCATCCCTGATGCCAGGGCCAAGCCAGGCCAGGGAGCAGGAGGAGGAAGAGGCAGAGAAGAACGGGAAGGAAGAGGGAGAGCGAGCTGGTGGAGCTGTACAGGGAGGACCTGAGATTGCAGAGGGAGGAGAATGAGCGGCTGTTTGGCCTCTTGTAAAAAATTATCGAAAATTAAAAAAAACATCAGCTATTTTTGTTTTATTTACATTTTGAAAAAGCCCATAAAAGTATAACATACATTTGAAATTATATAGATCTACGTCTCAAGGTCTTCAAATGAATAAATTAAGCCGTATTTATTAACTTTGAGACTTTCTCAGTGACTTTAATGTGGCCAAATCTAAGGTTTCCAACCTGAGAACATTTGGCGGACCACAGCTCTGATGGTTTGTGGACTTTAAAAAGAGCCATCTATTGCCCCAGCCAGCCGTGCAAACCCAACAGATGGACAATGAAGTGGACACAGCCCGGTATGATGCCTCACTCACCAGAAGAGGAAGACCAGGACCCTGATCTCCCGAGACCAGACCTGAACCAGTCCGAGACCAAGACCAGGGACTGGTCTCTTCCTGATACGACATGCCCCTTTTTTTACATTATACTTATGTGAATGTGTTTTAATCATTCTGGACAAGGGACCTGTAGTGTGAAGTCAGAGCGCCTGACTTTACACTCATATATACCCCTTGATAGGGAGAGGTAATTTCAGTCCAGACCACTGTTTAGATCTCTTTGTAATAGGGAATAAACCTTTTTGGATTTAACTTTCTGAATCTTGGTCATCTTTTAATTCAATAGGACCTCCGCTTGGTCCAGAGTCAGTAAGTAAACTAGTAAGTAATCTTTTATTTATATACCGCCTTTTTTGTCGTTGCCCAAATGCCCAAAAATTTTTAATTTTTGGGCATTTGTCTCTCACTCCACATAGAGATGGGAGCGGGGTCGCCAGTACAGGAGGCGCATGCTAGAACTATTGGACATATTTTTAGTGGTAGGGGAAACCAGAGTACCCGGAGGAAACCTACGCAGACACGGGGAGAACATGCAAACTCCACTCAGAAAGGCCCTGGTCCGACCGGGATTCGAACCCAGGACCTTCTTGCTGAGAGGCGAGAGTGCTATCCACTCAGCCACCGTGCCGCCCAGTCAGGGAGAGTGCCTGTGCATTACTGCGTCCCTTGGGTCATAGTTCTATAGTTTATCCTAACCCGTGGCCAGACGGGTCCCCAGAACCCGCAGCCAGACCAGGAACACACAAAATCCTGTCGTCTTCATGGGCCCTGGTCGAGGAACTGGACACAAGCACACAAGAGGCTGAAAACACTCCTGACCTCCCCAACAACTCACCCACCGTCAGAGAAGATGAGGACGAGACTAGAACACCAGTGAGAAGGAGAGCCACCCGCTCACATGTCGACACAGGAGCCCACAAAAAGCCCGCCCAGGCCGTCGCAGCTGGAGCCACGCTCGGACCTAGCGGACCGCTCCCCGGCTGGCCCTCCGCTAGCGTTACATGCAGACCTTGCCCTGGTTCGAGCCGTGGAATCTGGCACGGACGAGGAAGAAAAACAAAGTTACAAACAGGAAGAGTGTGGACTGGTCCCTGAGAGAGACCAGGCCCGTTCATCAACTTGAAAAAATGATGGAATTAATCAACTGGTCCCTCAACGCAATTGATACTATTTTTTCATCACGTAAAGGCGGTTCTGGAGATGCCGTTTGCCCGGATGGTACGGCGGCTGCTGGGTACGTTTTTGACAACTGGCAAAAGTGGCACCCCGTTTGTCTGTCGGGACTGTCCATCGAGGACATTGAGGATATATACATTTTTGGATTTATGGTAGCAGGGTTCCTCCTGATTGGATTTGGAGTTGGCTTGATCTACCGCAAAGTTGGAGGGCTGTCCACTCAGAAGATTTACGAGCGGCTGTCCGCGGAAAACAAGGAGAGTTTCCGCGAGTTGGTCAGAGTCGTGGTCGAGGGCACAGTGGGGACACAACGGGGTGTGAGTCGGATCGAACATTCCCTTAACGACCTGGGAGTGAGATCTTTGGATGGACTTAAACGCGTGGAAGGATTGTTGAAGGACTTGGGCCTCACGGTGGAACCTCGTACTGACGTGGTCAACTCCGGATAACGGTGAACGGAGGGTCCAGTTCCAGTATAATTTGGACATGTTGGCTTTAGTTTACACTGCCTTTCATTGATCAGCTAAAAGTGCAGATAGCGCAGGTGCAGGCACCTGCGCTATCTTTGTCCTTCACATTCCACCACCACACACGGCCACTCAAGGCTGACACTGGACTCTTATCTATCTCAGACTCACAACTCAGAACACCAGTTACAGTCCCCCCCCCCCCCCTACATGTCTGCCTCTCTCTCTTTTTCAGTCTATGGTGGTCTTCCCCTCCACCTCCCCCACCCACACTCCCCTCTGACGCGCTATATTGGACGAGGCGGGCCAGAGTGATGACTTCCCATTAAAAAGATCTGCATGTTTTTCCACATGTACCGTGTCTCTCCCCATGTTTGTTGAAATATATGTCTGTTTTGCTCTATGCTGTTGAATAACTGTTATTCTACTGTTTGTCGCATGGCGCCGTAAAAATGGCGCCGTGGCAAGAGCTCTGGTGTGTGTCGTCTTCTGGTGCACACCGGGGTAGTCTTGCACAGTTTTCCAATGTGGTTTTACTGCAAATGGCAAATAAATGAATCTGAATCTGAATCTGATCCCGGGAGACTCTAATGTTGCCAGAATCAAGGAACACACCTTTCCCTCTCTCTCGTTCAAATCGAAAGCTTCCCCAGAGCCAATCTCCTCCACGCTGCAGAACTTCTCAGCACCAAACCAGCTCCAAGTGGAGAGCGTGGTTCTCTCCTTTGGACTGAAGAATAGACAACAGAAACAGAGCGAAACTGGCATAAAACAGATGTAGAGGCTGATCATAGAGACCAAAAAGACCTTTCCAACTGCCAACATTAATGTACCCCTGATTCAGTCCTCCAGAGAGCTCCCCCTAAAGGAGAGGAGTGTACTGGCAGTCCTTAACCATCACCTGGAGAGGAACATGCCACACATCAAAAGACTGCCAGAAGAAGATTTTAAAACCAGGACGGATAAAATACATCGGACAGAAGAAACGACAAAGAAGAGGCCACAGCAACGAGCCCATGAGTTAAACTGGGACTCCCTCCAGTAATTAACTCTGAGGGCTCATACACAAATCAAACTATTAGAAAGAGGACTTACCTTTGTTCCTACGTATCAAACTAACAAAGATCAGAAGCTCCTGTTTGAGTGGGACCTACAGAACTACCACAGGAAGGTAGACCTGGCACTGTTTTTTTCACAGGACAATAATTCACACAAACACAAATCCAGAAAGAAATTCCACCAAAAGACAAGCTCCCTCCAGAGACTGCGGTCCTAAGGAGGCTGGACCGCCAAGCTTCAAGTCCCTCTATAAAAATCCCAGAGACACCAAACATCTCACCAGTCCCTGATGGAGGAAAAGAGAGAAGTGATCAAGCCGGCGGATAAAGGCAGTGCAATGGTAACGATGGACAGGGTTATTATATATTTGAAGTGGAAAGACAACTGATGGATAGGAATTATTACATTATAAAAGAGGAGCCAATTTATCCGGACACCATTTCATTTCATTTATTTGTTCCTTCCGAGCCCTTAACAGAACACATTATGCAATGGTGCATCAGTGGGCAGACCACACCAACAAATATATACAACAATCACCAATGCACCTTGTTGGAATATTAGAGGCCTCCTGCACCAGTTAAACTAAAATCAGTTTAGTATTGTTTCTGTTGCTAAATTAATACTTAAACAACTTAAACGTCAGAATGATTAGGTCTAGAAAGCACTTGTTTGTGTAAATTTCAAAGAGCAGTTAGGTCAAGGTTATTATTTCTGAATAGTAGCAGTTCTGTATGAAAAGTGAGAAAAACTAGAGTTGTTATCAAGCAGGTGCAGGTTTTGGCAGCTGGCCAGAAGAAGTCATAGAGTCCACGAATCTGTGATGTCAGTGACCTTGGATGTACAGTATAAAAGATGTACAGAAGGAGGCACGGGGGCTTCTTCTGACCAGGAGGGTGAAAGACGTCCCCGGGGCCACTTCTTATCTTCAATGCGAAGCGAGACCTGTTCGCAGACCGTTACTCTTGTAATGTTGCTTGCAAATCTTCAATATAACATCTGAAATCAGGTTTGGTGTCTGTCATTTCTATTACTGTTTTAACATTGGTATTGTCTCTTGTTGAACTAAAAGAACCTACAGGTGGAAACGGGCTGTGGTGCTGCGGCCTCTCTGCAGCGTCCAGAGCAGGGGAACCCTGACAGATTTACTGCAACCTGTGCACAGGAAATAAAATAAAACCAGCTTTACATATTCACATAGGCCTTGCTCCACACAATGCTCCATGAGCTCTGAATGGAGTGGGAAGAAGACACCATCCCACGAGTGAAGGAAATATTAGATGAACTATACACATTAAAATACATGAATAAAAAACTCACCTCACTAACCCTAACCTCACAAGAACCCTGACGACAACAAACATTAAAAAAAAGCCTTATAAAATACAACAAAATAAACATATATTGTTTAAAGTTGATTAAAATTGCATTAATAAGTTAAATCACACATTAAACAGACAGTAAATCAAACCTAAAAATAAATTCAACACAGAAAATACAAAATGACTCCCATTGGACGCGACAGGGACAGGGGGCGTGGCCAAAATTTAAAACCAGGACGAGGCCAAGCTCTCTTGGTCCCACTGTAGACCCGGCCTGAAGAAGACACAAGCTGTGGAAACGCTGCTTTTTTACCGTCTACAGTATTCCATCACTACCACAGACCCGACCAACGTACTCCAGACATGTCCCGATGACGGACCCTGGGGGACTACCGTGACCGCCGTGACCAGCACCAGCTGGGCTGGGTACGTGGACGCCAACCCCAGTGGATCCGAAACCGGACTCCGAGCAGAGAGAGGGCCAGAGCACGGCCTGTCTCCCCCGGGAGAGAGCCACTACACACGCGTATTTGGCGCAAAGCATCATGGGAGCTCGTCCACTGCGCAGACCAGGACCAGATGATGCCCAAATATGGGCGACTTCCGCTAATCCCTCAGTCCCTCCTGTAAATGCGCTACCGAGCACAAGCCATGCATTTGAATAGGACGCCATCTTGGATTACCGGGGCTTGATTTCAACCGGTGCTGGCGCTAGCTTGAATCAACGTTACATTTGATGTCCTTAATTTTTAACAATGACTGACATGATGTTGATGTCTAACTATGAAACTGATATATCGATAAAATGGTTAGTTCTCTTCAATATGATGAAATGACATATGGTAATGTCATTTCTGGTAATGCAGGATGCACACTTCATACACTGAGCTGCACAGACATACATGTATATAAATATGGTCCAATGGTCCAAATCTATATAAATATACATGTGTCCGTTTCGTTTATTTTTAACTAAAAGGTAAAAAACTCAATTTCCCATGAGCCTATGCGGTCGGTAACCCTGGAAGTGCTGTCGCTATACTGCTTATACACAGTAGCCGCTGGCTGTCAGCTAGGTGCGTGGGACAAGCGGGACTTGGGTGCGGCAGTAGGTGAGATTAGCCCTAAACACGACTAAATCCACCATCTAGGATGGATCTATTTTTAAAACGTGGTGCGTTGTGTCCCTCAACCCGTAGGTCGGTCTACCGCGACACGTATCGTGGCCATATTACTGTGATGCTTAATGGGATCGGTAAGTGTCGCCATGATTTTCATGTTAACTCTTGTAGTGAGTATAAGATCAACACAACAAATAACATCAATGCAATGTAATGCATATTTGCACATTTTGGCATCGCGCTGTTATGGAATTCTAAGGAGTGAAATACGCAATATTAAATATAAAATAAACAACAAGAGCTGTAATTCAAATCAAAGTGTGGTTTATTATCTCAGTAAATGTATACATATACAGGAAATACAACCGTGTAACCGCGTGGCAGGTCCCGGGTAGATCTGCCTCATAGTGCCCATTCTCTCTCACATTTATAGGATGGGATAAACAAAAGAGTCTATCTGTGGCGCCTCTGAGTCCGAGATTAAACGGCAGTTATGGCCCAAACCCCCCTCTCTCTGACGTCCCATCCTGATAGACTCTGATATTACTCTGATATTAGGAAGAATTGTCACTATGACCGGTGAGACAGCTCTCGGTGTCTCTGGTATCAATCTCGTATCTGCCTCAACCCCGTCATTGGCCTTGCGTCTACAGAGAAAAACAGTTTAGTTAGTTTCAATAGACTTACTGGTTTTGAACTTAGTCCCAGATATCCCATTTCATCATTAGATTTATTCTTAAGTTAAATTGATTTATAATCCCAGTAAGATTTCTAGAACAATTCACCCCTTTGATAATATAAACCCCGTTTATCTTAATCAACTTGATTCTAGCTATAGAAATTACAATTATAAATCACAGGAATTGATTAATCAACAAGAGAGAGAATGTGAGCATTTTGAATAAGTAGCATATTCACAGTTTGATTACAGAACAGAAAAAGGAAATTAAGGAAACCACACTTATTTTCTTGATTACATTAATCACACTGGCTGAGTCACAGACCCCGACTCAGGGGGGGCAAAGCGTTACTGGACCTGACGGTCGTCAGCCGACCTCCACCCCTCCCCATGCCGACACCTGCAACCCTAGCCTACAACCCGGACATGGGTGTACTCTTCATCCTCAGAGTCTGAAATATAGTCACGCTCTTTCTCAAAATACTGGATGGCTAGGACCCCCGGTTTTGGCTGTATATTAATGGAGGTAAAATGGGCGGTGAAAACTCTGCTCATAATTTTCACTGCGCAAGGGATGACACACGAGAATACCACCATCCCTACCAACAAAATGGAGGCTATGTTGATCAGCAAGTGTCGCCAAGAGGAGGTCAGCCAGCCGGACCATGAAAATGGACCGCTCGCTTCCTCCCGCTCCATTGCATCTCGGAGCCGGGTTAAGTTGGCTATTCCCTGCTCAATCAAACCTCCATCCTCCTCGTTAGCTGGGATGTATGTGCAGCAGGATTTTCCCACCCTGGCGCAGACACCACCAGTAGATGCGGTCAAATGGTCCAGCACCAGGCGGTTCTGGAGGGCCACTGCTCTCAAGCCATGGAGCTCAGCACGCTGTGCCTCCCAGACTGAGACTGTGGTGTTTATAAATGCTGAAAACCGATAGCTGAATGTTTCCATTCTCAGCATCAGTTTCCCCACCCCCAGACTTGGGAACAGGGCCAACATCACCTTCTCCCCTGTGGTCCAGATCTTATGGTCATCTGGCACGTCAGAGCCCCACAGTGGGTCGTGAGGCGGCATGACCAAGGGAGTGTCTCGCTTTACCCTGGGGTTGAGTGGCTCATGGGCGGAGATAATGTACGAGTGGTCCGCGGGCACGGCAGCAGCACATCTGCCGATCCATCCTGCCGGCAAACAATCATACATACGGTAACCACACAGGAACATATGGCCTTCCACTGGGTTGGTACCAAACATGTCCGGGACAGTGAGGTAGGCTGCACACTTAGAGTTGGGGCTGGCCTGGGACTGGTTAAACCTGTGTGTACCATACATGTATGTGCATGGGGTGTATACTGCCGAACAATACTCCAGGGGGATTTTGCCTACAGATACGGGGTCTAGGCTCATGCCAACCTCTCGAAGTGGTATCTCAGAAATGGTTTGGGCGTAGCAAATAAACTTGGAGCCTGGCTGTATATGCACAGGCCCAAAAAGGGGCTCTCGTCCGGGCCTCTCCCCCACCTTAAACACAGGGGCGGACCTGACAGTGGGGCCCTCATGGGTGAGCAGATCTGGAATACTCATCTTAAAAACCGATGCTACTGCCCTCCCCAGCATTTTATGTTTTCCCCTGGAGGCTAGGGTGAGTGGGATTAGTGTAGTGATGTTGGGCACTGGCAATGGCATTACATGGGGGTTAGCGGCTGCAATGGGCATGTGAGTGCAGACATAGCAATCACTCCGGTTTTGAGCTTTGGCCAAGTATGATGCGTAGCTATACCAGTAGTTAAGTGAGTATACGGTGGAATGTTTACGGGTTTTAATCAGTGCTTCTAGCCAATCAGACTCCCCAACATGGACCTCCCTTTCTCCTCTACTAATACCCTGTCCTCGCACTAGCCACGGCATGTATGAACACCACAATATAAATGTTACAGCCGCAAGAATAATCATAGAAAGATGTAGGGCTGTTCTCACAACTTCCTGTGAGCGCCAGCTAGGGGCAGTCTCTCTCCACCCCCCATGTGGGCGTCCGGTCTCTGGGTCGCCCTCCCCTGAGCTGGATGTTTGGTCAGGGCTTCGGTTTACGGGGGCGTAGTACCCGGTCGGACTTGACACACTGACCAGGTTTGCTGCGAGACCCCGGAGGGCGCCCCCGTGTCCGGACGCCGGGAGCCGAGCACGCCGGCCCAAGCTCCCTTGCCGCACCCCCGGTAGAGGCTGTCGCTGGAAGACCTGCCTCTCGAGCCGCCTCTGGAGCCGCACCCCCGTGGGAAGCTGTCGCTGAAAGACCTGCCTCTCGAGCCGCCTCTGGAGCCGCACCCCCGTGGGAAGCTGTCGCTGAAAGACCTGCCTCTCGAGCCGCCTCTGGAGCCGCACCCCCGGTAGAGGCTGTCGCAGAAAGACCTGCCTCGGTCCCTCTGGTCCCCTCCGGACGGTGAGAGTGATTCCCCCCTGGGCCCCGGTGCCCCGGTTTTGGCGTGGTGTGGGGGCCACCCCCTGTGCTTGGGCGGGGGCCCCCAGGGCCTCTCGCAGCCCCCCTTGGCGGGGGACGGGGCATCCGGATGGACCGCGGCGGCGTCTGGGACCTTTCTGCAGTGGGAGGCGTGGATCCACGTTGCCCTTTCCGCGACTTTCACTGCCGTCTCGGTGATGAGGAGGACGATGAAGGGGCCTCTCCAGCGGGGTGATTTCCAATTCACCCTCCTAGTCTCCTTCACCAGTACTGCGTCCCCGGGCCTGATGTCGTGTAGGACCGATGTGGCCGGGCTTGGGAGGGCAGCTTTGACCTGCACAGAAATGTCCGAAAGCAATTTATTCAACTCTTTACAGTATGACAGAACATCATCGTCACAAAGTGAGCCATGTGGTAGTTTTCTTGGAGGTGGGTCACACCCCAGGCTGGGCGGCCTGCCAAACAGTATCTCGTATGGACTTAGGTTGCAACGTGCGCGTGTGCGCATGCGCATATACATGAGTGCCAATGGGAGGGCCCTCGTGTCTGCACATATTTTCTGTAACTTACGCTTCAGGGTCCCATTCTCACGTTCCACCATGCCGGCTGATTCCGGATGGTAAGAAGTGTGTTTCCTTAGGTCAATCCCCAGGAACTTGCCCACCTCCTCTACCACTTTGGCTACCAAATGGCGGCCGTTATCCGAGGACATTTGTTGAAACAGGAAGTGCTGTCACTTCCTCCTCTCTAAATATCTACTTTTGTGACTTTTCCGAGTTCGCTCTTCCCTCCGTTCGGCTCTGCGCTTTTCCCCTGGGCTGCTCCTGTGGATGTCCCTGGTCTGATCTTTCTCTCACGGATTGGAAACAGTTCTCAGCGATCAGCGGCTGTTTTGGGCGCTTTGGAGGCATGGCCGGGGCCACGTGTGAGGGCAATGGCATGTCAGATGAGCGGATCGGCGAGGCTGTGATCAAAGAAGTGTTCGAGGGGGAGCTGAAGGACGTGCCCTCGGAGGATTTCCCGCCCCTCACCCCTCTGACCTCAGAGCTCCATTCGGCTCAGGAGCAGAAGATTGTGACGGAACTGGCCAAGATGATCCGCATCGTCGGGGACAGCGTCAGGGACAACCGGCAGCTGGATGATGCTATTGATGGGATGAGGCGCACTCCTGGTTCCAAGTGGGACATGTTCCAGAAGGTGGCAGACAATGTTTTTCAGGATGGCATCACCTGGGAGCGCATTGCCGTGCTCTTCTACGTGGCGGGACGGCTGGCTGTCAAGCTTGTGGAGGCCCATCTTCCTCAGAGCGTGCGGGAGATCCTGCAGTGGACCGTGGACTTCTTCAGGACCAACTTGCTGGGCTGGATCCGGGAGCACGGAGGATGGATCAGCAGCTTCCCGGCGCTGGCGTCTGCCTCCATGCGCTCCGTGGGCTGGGGGCAGCTCTACGGTGTCCTGATCTTCATTGCCGGTCTGGCTCTGGGCAGTCTGTTCACTGCCAGACTGCTGTCCCGGACTTGACCCCTGACCCCAGACTCAGGACTATTCTCAACTACTCTCCATGTTTACGTGAGCCTCGTCACAGGACCCTCTGTTCCGAGTTTTATCTACAGTTAAGCTATGAGAGGGTTGTATCCAACAGTTGTTTTTGTTTTTTAGAAAGAGATTTTGAGTTTAAATTAGTTTGCTACCTCGATAAAATAGAAGCGTAAACGTTAAAGACAAGAGTGCCTTTTGTTACAAGTGTGGAAAGTGATCACTTCTAGACTTGGATGACAAAAGTATAAACTACAACATCAGTTATATTTGCTTAAAAAAGTAATCTTGAAAGTTCTTCTTCTGTGTCTTTCTGCCTGTGTGTGCACATCTCTATCTTGCTGCCGTTGTCAGGGGAAACGGCGCCCTCCTTTGCTGCTCTGGCTCTGAATCAGAACAAACCTGCTTTTAGGATTTTGGCTTTTATTCCGTTAAATTTGCAAAATTTGCCATTTGAATATTGTGTTATGACACAGTTAAACGTTTTTAAACACCATTAGTGAGTAAGTTTTGAAAATTATATGTTTTTTGAAACCCAAATATTAGTGCTAAAGCTGTGCAATTCTTTTTAGACCTAACATATTTCTAGATTCCATTCTTTTTAAATCTGCTGCTTATTTCTTAACTTTTTGTGAGTTGTGTTTGTTTTTATGTTTTTATTTTAGTTACAAAAGCCGTTTTTCAAACATTTAAATTAGAATCTATTTGTATATAAAATGCGCATTATGAGATGATGTCCATGCCAGTGTGATTAGCTGATTTTAGCTCCCGCGGCTATGTTGACTGTCTTATAGTGTGGAGCTCGTTATGATATACTGTGCCTTTTTATGCACTGTTATTTATACACCTTAATGCATTTTGATAGGATCATCTATTGGTATATTTGTACATTTATGCCACACTGGTATGATAATAATTTGCATTTTATTTGGTGTTTATTGTGTACACAAATTTAGTATTTATACATGCATGTTGTATATTATGCAGGCCAGGCTTGCTGAAGACCACGAGTCCAGCCCTGTGTCTGTCTGAGGTCTGATCCAATGCTGCCTCTAGAGTGACCCTGAGCTCTCTCTTCAAATGGTGCGGTAGGAGGCCTTTGCCACACACACTTGTCCTTGTTCATGTCCTGGTGTCCGTTCATGTCCCACCACCTCCAGCGTGCGGGACAGAGTTGGATTATTGTTCTTGGATTATTGTTTCCTGGATTATTTGGAATAATCACTCCTCAATAATCACCACTCCTTGTCTAACAAACTGTTGGGACTCAAGTCTATGGACTATGGACAGACAATAATAATAGATGAAGTGCACTACTGTAAATATTGTAAATAATGTACATATTGTAAACCTTCATTCTTTCTTTTCAACTAAACTAAACTGGGTGGCATGCAAACTTGTGTCCTCTCTTCATTAAACACAACCCTTTCCTCCCAGAGGGACGAACCATTATAACCATTATTATCATAATCTTACTTTTTGAACTTTATTACAAGTGTTACATACATGTGCAGAGACACTGGCACCAATCGAGTTAAAGCAGGTCGTCGGCCACTGAGCAGCTAACACTAGCTAATGGCTAACATGTGGCCTGCAGGAACCAGTTTCAAAATGTTGTACGTAAATGTAAGCAGGCATGTTTTATTTGTTTTTATCATGAGTGTCCCTTAGCCAAAGCCTACTCTCTAGTGCACTAATCAGTGCACCTGTGACTTAGCGAGCAGGAGGGGTGGACGGCATGGCACCGCACCTCACCCAACACGGGATCTGGGCCTGGACCTGGACCACAGCCACGAGTCGAGAGAGAACACCACGAAGCCGAACTATCACAGAAGGCAGAGGACGCTCTGCCTTCGCGTGTAAGTACGAGAACACATTGAGTCGTGTTCAAGAAATGGCCTCGGGCAAGAGACTCGTTGGGGTGTGTTGGCGTTTTGCTGTGGGGATGTGCTTTGCCTCCAGGGGCCGCGGCACCCCGGGAGACCAAAAGGATCAGAGACCAAAAAGACCTTTCCGAACGAGAGGCGTAATCCAGAGGGCGCTGGTAAGTGTGTGAAAATGGCGTTCTCATGTGTTGTTGGTGCCTGTGTCTATGGTTCGCTGCCTCCACCCTCCGCCGCTGGGTTCCATTTCAATCCACACCTCTTTTAAATGGGACTTTGTTTTAACCTTTTATTTTAGTAAATATATGGTTTTTGTACAAAACATCACTTGTTTCCTTTGCAACTACGTGCTCCCTCTCCTTATCACATAAAGATCGAGCAGTCATTGTAAATGTGTGTCCAAACTGTCTATTAATGCACCTGAAAACAAAAAAAACTACAGAATGTGAAATTCAAGGATCAGCTGAGCTGATTTTAATCGCATGTGTTTCTTTAACATGTTTTTATCCATGCGTCACACTAATTCAAACTAATTGGCCAAAACTTGTGCTCTACTGGAGCTATCCAAAATGGCCACGAGTGGTCCCCCTGGGTCTATTATAATAACTGGATCTATTATAATAACTGGATAGGGTGTTACTAGCTTGTAGCTGAATAACTCATGTGCTCGGGGGATTCTCGCGGTACTGCAGACTGAACCAGACTGAACCAAACTAAATTCACGTGGGCTACCCAGAAATGTTCCCCATAGAACTCAATGCATATTAAAACAGCTCAACCTCAGCTGACAGAGAACCTGACAGAGAACCTACAGCTTTAATAAAGGTCGGATTTTGTGGGATTTTAGTGTCCCTTGTCATCCTGAACTTTTTTTCTTCTTAAATCCTTTGGTTTTGTTTAAATCCACACTTTAGTGCCACAAACTCTGCTCCTCTGGCTCTCGCTCTAACTCCCGCTCTGATGAACTGCTCTGATTGGTCAGAGCGCGGCCGAGCCCCTCTGTGCACATGCGTGAGACCCGGTGTGAGACCCACACACGCGTGTTTGTGCAATGCATTATGGGAGATCATCCACTGCACAGAACCGGGAGGACCAGACGATGCCCAAATACAGGTGAGTTCCAGGCGACTTCCGCTAATCTTTCAGCCCCCATGCCGTCACAAAGCGCCACTGAGCACAACCATTCATTTGAATAGGGCGCCATCTTGGATCGCCGGGGCTTGGTGGTCCCGCCCACGAGAAAATTGTGAGAAAACGCATCTGCGTCAGCCTGCACAAGCCCCCTTCATTTAAACTAGTGACTTCTAAAGTCCACAGCAACTAAACTAGACTGGTCCAGAACACTCAGCATTGACACACATGTGGAACGGAGTTTTGGGCCAAGAGCCAACTTTTGGTCCATCCTGTAAAGACGTTTGAGAGGTCTGCCAATGCTATATGTTAGCATTGGCTAATTCTTCTTCTGGGTCCACCCCCACAGGCCCGGGGTGGTATTGCAGCATGTCAGCGCACGTCATTTTGGCCACTTTTGAGCTGGGACCCTCCCCCACAGGTCACAACAGTCCCTCACTCGTATGTTTAAGTCTCTAATGTACTAGGACTGAAACATCTGCACTGTTGTTGCCACTTTCTATTGAACATAATTATCTCCTGCACAGACTTTATTTTTAACCTGTTGCACACTTCTGTCTTTGCAGTGATTCCATCTGTGCCAAATGTGACACGTACAGTAGGAGACAGACCAGGGTTCACTCTGTGTGTGTGTGCGCGTGTCCACAGCAGGGGGCGGGGCTCACGGGGCAGGTGCACGAACACGGGTAAAAGTGTGCGTGTGTCAGACGGGTGATGAGTCAGGGCTGAGTGGGTACTGTTGTGGAAATACAAATACTTCTATGAATAAATCCGAGCAGAGACAGCTTGTCTTTGTGCTATTTATTAAAGAGGTGATGAATACAAATAAATGACATTTCTCTG